AGAAGGAAGACAACTGGAGAAAGGGTTACAGAAGCAGATAGCCTGCCAGGGAGATAGGGTGGAGAAGGCAGGCAGGCAGCATGAGAAGGGGAGGGGAGGGGGAGGGGCACAGATAATCACTCATGTAACCATGGATTAGAGTTGGGGGCAATAAAGTTGGCAGCATGGATCTGATGGAGGTGGATGAGAGTCTGGGGGCAAGAGTTTGAGGTCTCATTCTGCAGGGTTTTGGGGAGAGGTGACTAACTCTAAACAGTGCCACCTTAGTTCATTAACATATCCAAATTGTCTCAGAGTTGTCAGTAAAATTTTAAGTTAACATGTCCATACATCACAAAATTACCAACACCGTTTGGTGTTTTGCTGGTCTTACTGCGGATGTCTGGAACTTGTCCGAGATGCACATGTCACACCACCAAAAGGTACTGACATCAAAGACTTTGGCTCCCCTTGATTCAGCACATATGACCAGCACATGATTTTTGGTTAATAGATGATAGGATTTGTGAATTGTGCTCCTTTGATCTTTGGGACAGTTTGTATGTGACTCCTGGGTTGACCTTTGCAATCTTACTATCTGCTACTGCCACTTCATGCTGACTACTTACAGAAAGGATTGGGGTGAGGGGGACCAGAACAATATGCAATTTTAGCACAGATACTTACTAGCCATGTGACCCTGGGCAAGTCATTTAACTGCCATCTGCCTCAGTTTCCTCATGTGTAAAATGGAGGTAATAAAGTGCCCACCTCCCAGGGTGGTTGTAAGGCCAAAATAATAGTGGTAAAGCATTTTTCAAACTTTAAAGCACTACATAAATGCTAGCAACTACTATTACTACTACTGCCACCACCACTACCACCACCACCACCAGCACCACTGCCACCACCACTCCTTCTACTACCTCCACCACCACCACTACCACCACTACTATCACTACTTTCAAAACTGTCCCACATGGCTTTGCTTCCTTCTGAAGCTCCTTCTGTTCTCTTTTTTGCAATTAAAATGTTTCAATGATCCTTTTTTTTTCAATATTTTTAACCTCTCCTATCCTCCCCAACCCCTAACTAACACCCCCCCACACACACACACAAGATGAGGAGGGGAGGATTTTGGAACAACTAAACATAAGCAAAAAGGAATCCACACAGGGGCCATGTACCCAAAATGTTTATCTCTTTGTTCATCTGGTGTCCATCACCTCTGTGAGGAGGTGGCTGACATGCTCCATCATGGTCCTGGAGACATGTCTGGTCATTGCATTGATCAGAATTCGTATGTCTTTCAAAGTAGTTTTTCTGTACAATGCTGTTGTTCTTGTAGAAACAGCTCCCCTCGTTCTGTTTATTTCACTATGGGTTGGTCTATACCACCCAGCATTATCTTTTTTCCTCACTTTTATCATTTCTTATGGCACAAAAATATTGTTACACTCACACACCACAATTTGTTCAGCCATTCCCTAACTGATGGGTAGCCCCACCCTCCTCCCAGACTCTAGTTCTTTGCCTTTCTTTTTTCCTTTTAATCTCCCCGTTCAGGATCAGGAACATTATTTTCCTGATACTATTTTTTCCCTTCTATTATCTTCCCTCTTTCCCCTATTCTCTCATTCTTCCTTGTTTGGCTATTTAGTCTGGTATATTTCTACACCAAATGATTTGGAGGGGAGTGTGTGTTAAATCATTCTTTGTCCATTTCTGGCATTTATTCTCCTTTCCCTTTCCCTTCTTAAAACCCTCAGAACAGAACTAACCACTTCTTCTGTTTTTCTTCCTTAATTCCTTCAATTTTCTTTGAAGAATGTCCTGAAGGGCTGTTTCCTCATAGGGAAGTGAGCACTGCTTCATCATATAGATCCTTCTAATTGCTCATATAAATTTGCTTTTTTAGGTTTCTCTTTACTCTTGTGTTTGCATTGATAAGTTCCTACTCAGTTCCGGTCTTTTCATCAGAAATGCTTGAAAATCCTCTATTCCCTTAAAGATCCATTATCTTATTTCTCCCCACCCTCTCTTCTCCCTTACCCTCCCTTAGATTCACATTCAGATGTGCAAGGCAAGTTATTTTTCATTGTAAAAATATACCACTTGCTTTTTGAAATGTATTCCAAGTCTCCTCTCATTTCTAGTAAAAGCTGCCAGGTTTGGGGGTAATCCTGACTGTGGTTCCTTGGTACTTGAACTGTTTCCTTCTGGATGTTTATAACATTTTTTTTCCTTTAATATGAAAGCTCTGGATTTTGGCTATGATATTTCCGGAACTTTTCCTTTAGTTTTTTTTTCTTTTTCCAAAAGGTGCTCAGTAGACTCTATCTTTATTTTATAAATTTGAGTAACTAACTTTCTTTTGTGATTTCTTGAAAAATGATATTCAGGGTTTTGGGGTTTTTTTGGTTTTTGTTAATTATAATTTTCAGGGAGTGCAATGATCCTTAAATGATCTCTCCTCGTCCTATTTTCCAGGTCAGCTGTTCTTGATATAAAACAATTTATATTTTCTTCCAATTTTCAATCTTTTTATCATGTTCTAATATTTCTTGTTGTCTTATGGAGTCATTGATTTCTGCGGTCTATTCTAGTTTTTAGGTAGTAAGCTTTACCGCTTTCTAAGCTGTCATATTTTTTATATATTCTCTTTCTAACTCTTTCCTCCTATGCTCTTATTTATTTTGTACCTTTTGCTTCATTTCTTCTAGTTGGCCATGTACTCCTTGTGGAAAATCTCCCTTTTTATTTGAGTCTCTGCTTGCAATTACAATGGAGTTACTCTCCACTTTTAGGGGAATCTTTAGATTTGTAATGATTTTTGATACTGGTTGGATCTTCTTTGATTTACTCAACCTCTTTGCAGGCTCATCTTCCCTATCATGTCCTCTACCTATGTGAAAACTCCATTGGTGGGGAATTGAGCCAACGGCACAAAGACCACGCACTTCCCAAACTCCTTACGGGTCCCAGAGGGGGACAGGTGAAATGTCACACACTTGGCCTTCGGGCAGTGGGCCAGGATAAACACCGCTATACTTCTAAATCTATTTTCCACACAGCTCCCAAAGTAGATTTTCTTAAGCGTGGAGCCTTGCTCAGTAAACTCCAGTGGCTTCTCATTGTCCTTACAATAAAATACAAGCTACTTTGCTTGGCTCTTACAGTCTTGGCAACGTGGGCCTATCTTTTCAGTCTCGTTGTACATGACTCTTCTTCCTGCTTTCTGTTGTCCAGACAAACTGACCTTTTTGCTGTTTCTCACACAGGCCACTCAATCTCTCATCTCTGTTGCCTTTGCACTGGCTGACCTGTCTGACCAGAACTACTTCCTCCTCACCTCTACCTTCTAGGGTCCCTGATTTCATCCATGACCCAGCCTTGTAGAATTCCTTACTACAGCAGCAGCTAGATGACATGGGGGTTTTGCACCTGTAAGACTGGAAGGCTGATGGTGCCTTCACCAGAAATAGGGAAATTTGGAAGAAGGGGACTACCTCAGTTTTCTCATTTGTAAAATAGGGATAATAATACTTATACAACCTACTTCAGAGGTGGTGGTAGTGATTATTGATCTGTGTGAAGAAGAGTGAGGACAGTATCTTTAAACCAGAGAAAAAGGTTTCAAAGAGCAATGATTTGAATTGTGCATGCCTCCCACTAGGCAGCAAGGTGCTGTCAAATGGATAAAAATCTGACTGAAGAAACTGAGTCCAAGTGCTCCCTCTGTGTGACACTTACTGTGTGACCTTGGACAAGTCACCTAACCTCTTAGCTCTCTGAGCAACCCCATAGGAAGGTGACACCCAGTATTAGTAGAGAGAGTTTCCAACAACAACAACAATAGCCAGCATTTATACGGCATTTGAAAGTTTGCAAAGTTCTTTATAAATATTACCTCATTTTAGAGAAGGGGAATGGGAAGGGAATAAGCATTTATATAGCATCTACTGTGTTCTGGATGCTTTACAAATATTGTATCATTTAATCCTCACTCTGCGAGGTAGGTGCTATTTTTATCCTCATTTTGTAGAAGAATAAACTGAGGCAGACAGAGGTTAAGTGACTTGCCCAGGGTACCACAGCAGGTAAGTATCTAAAAATTTGGACTTCAGATTAGGTTTTCCTGAGCCACCAAGTTGCCTGATCAATGATGCCTCAGGTCTACCCCCCCCCCCACATCCATATGTATACAGTATATATAGTGGATCTGATATATGGTATATACTTATATGTGTAGCTAAATATTGTGCAAAGGTGTGAATGTATGTGTACATATAGATCTATGATTTCAGTTGTGTTTATAAATGTATGTATGTATGTGTACGTATGTGTGTGCATGTGGAATTCTATCTACGTGTACAGCTATAGACATGTTACAGTCTCCTTCCTGAAATACGTCGAGAACAGGAACAGTTTCATTTTTGTACTTTTATCCCCAGTGCCTACTACAGTACCTGGCACACAGAAGGCGCTTAATAAATGCTGGCCGATTGACTAGAACTTCCAAGCACGGTTCCGGGTCTAACACCGTTGCAGAACCTCCAATCCTCTTGCTTGGGGCACAGACTGCTTTCCACTTGTGCCCCCCCGGGAGCCTCCAAAGCACTAGGGGGCGGCGGGGCGCTCACTCGCGCATGCGCGAGTCTCTCTGGCCCCACCCGAGGGGCCTCGGTGTCTCCCGGAGGGAAGACGTGGACACGGAAGTGGCTGGCGGCGGCTGTGACGGAGGCGGGAACGGGGTCGCGGGCTACGGTGGCTGGCTACGGCATCCTGGACGGAAGGTGGCGGTGGCAGTGCCGGGCCGACGGGTACGAGGAAGGGCGGGGCGCGGCGGTGTACGGGCTTCAGGCGTCTGAGGCTCTGCTTGGCAAACGGATCCCCGTCCGTTAAGAACGGCCGTCGCCCAGAGCTGCGCGGAGCTTTGCCGAGCGCCCGGGCGCGTGCCCGCCGCCGGAAGCCGCCCCCACCCCCCGCCGAGCCCTCGCGCGCCCCCACCGTCCCCCCAATCCCCACACCTCCCGGAGCCATGGCCAAGAGTGGAGGCAAGGGGGCCAGCCTGCGCGACAAGCTGGACGGCAACGAGCTGGACCTGAGCCTCGGCGACCTCACCGAGGTGCCGGTCAAGGAGCTGGTCAGTGTGGGCGCCGCCCCGGGCCGGAGCGGGAGCGGGGGTCTGGGAACCGGGTCCCCGGGACTGGACACGTGTCATTCCTGGGGGGGATGCATCCCCCCTGGCTGGTGCCGCGGAGGCCCCGCTTCCTGGCCCAGCTCGGCGTTTTGGGCAATGCCCCTTCGCCACTCCAGGCCTCAGTTTCCTTCTCTGTAAAATGAGGGGCTGAGACGCGATGGTATTCTCGGGCTCTGACCTTACCAGATGGATCTGAGACGGAAGAGGAGGGAGGTCCTGCTGTCTCTTTCTAGGCCCTAGAGAAGTAGGCCTTTCTAGGGACCTGGGTGTGGCTGAGACTTAGTGACATTTGGGAATTCTGCAATCCCAGCTGCTAGAAGTAGCCTGCAGGCATTACTTGGGCTGGAAAAAGTTGGGCTGCACTGGTTGATATGTCTGACCTTTGTTTGCTCGAACATATGGGAAGTGTATTGAATCCTAGAATGTTAGGACAGGAAGAGACCTTGGGGACCGGGCTGTTTATTTTTGCAGATGAGGATTTCGAAGCCCCAAGAGGGGCAGTGGCTTGCCCAAAGGTTGGGATGCACACATTGGGGAAGTAGTATTCTACCTAAAAGATCTGGGTTCAAATGTTGGCTCTGCCACTTGTTAACATTATGATCTTGGGCAAGCCACTTTCCATTTCTGGGCATCATTTTCCTCATCTGAAGACTGAGAGGATTAAGACTAGATAGATGATCCCCAGAGAGCCTTCTAGCTGCAATATTCCTCAATTCTTTGGTTCCTATTAGGAATAGAATGTCATCAATTGAATGTCTTATCTCTTGGTCTTATTCTCATTTCAACCCAAAACTGGGTGGAGTAGGGTTTGTTGTGGGTTAGCGCTACAAATCGGGCAGGAGTTTTTAATGCCAATTGGATATATTTCAGGGGGATCATAAACTTGGATGGAAAAAATATATATTTTCATTAACTTTTAATGGAAATTTAGTATTTCCTTCCATTCTGAATTTTGGAAAACAAACAAAAAACAGCTTTATTCTGAGAAGTGGTCCATAGGCTTCATCTGATTGCCAGAGGGGTCTGGGTAAAGAAAAAAGTTAAAAATCTCTGCCCTAGCCAGAAGAAGGGATGATTCTGAAGACTTTTAAGATGTCTCTAGCATTGTTTGGAAGTCCTCAATTCTGTTCTGGTATCCAAGTTTTCCTTCGCTGCATGCCACACTTTGTTCTTTCTGTATTTCCATAGGTAACTGATGACTGGCCTCAGTTTTTGCTCTCCTTTTTGAGCTCTCTCAGCATTTTATTCTTGTTTTGTGCTTTTTAATCTATCCTAACTCTCCTCCTCTGGAAAGATACTCCATTGGCAAATAGATGCCACCAAGTATAATAGTCTCTGGCAATATGGATTTTACAAATTTCCTCTGCTCCTTTCCTAGGCTGCTCTCCCAAAGGCCACAGTACTGGATCTGTCCTGCAACAAACTGACTTCGTTACCGGTAAGATCAACAAAGGACTTTGGTTCTCTTTGGAGTACCTGGGGGGATGCCTTGCTCCAGGCTGGGGGATGTACCATGAACACGAATCCCTGGGAGAGTCAGTAGCTCTAATCAAATATATGGAGGCTAGTAGTTGGTTTTAGGAGGAGGGTCTTAATTTAAAATTATTTTATTGAATATTTATAATGTGTAAGACCCTATGATATATGCTGTGGGAGATAACAAAATATATCTATCTTCATAGAAATTAAAGTCTAGTGGGGGAAATAAGATAACATACAAATTAATCAAGTTGATAATACAAGTATAATCAGAAAAATATATAGTGCTGTGGAAGCTTAGGGAAAGGAGAAATTACTTCTAGCTTGGGTGATGTGGATTGAATGAATGAATAAAGCATTTATTAAGTGCTTACTATATGTAAAACACTGTGTTAAGGCTGGGGACACAGAATAATCAAACTTCTACTCTGAAGAAGCTCACATTCTAAAGGGGAAGATACATGGAAGGTTTTAGCTGCTAATTGAATGAAAAAGTCCCATGGTCCTTAGGGTGCAGTGGTAAAGCAGATAGTAATGCCTCTTTAATGTCATTTCCACTGATAAAATCATTTTGAGGATTGAGGAAGGCTTCATCGAGGAGGTGGAATTTGCATTAGGTCATGCATGGTGGCCAGGTGGAAGTTGGGGGAAATGATACTTCAGGTAGAGTAAACAGCACATGCATAAAAAGCAAGGGGTCTTAGGCCATGTTTAGGGGAAAGAGAGTAGTGTAGTTTTGCTGATGTGGAGTGTATGTATACCTGTATGTGTAGTAGGTATGTATGTGTGAAGAGGAATCTCAAAAGAGCTCAGTATGCATGTATTTATCCCTGGCAGTAGGAGCTGACAGTGTAAGAGTAGAGGCAGTGGGGCCAGCAGAGGGTATTTTTCTAGATGATTTAGGTCATCAAAGCTACCAGTTTGAGAATGGGAACAGATAACTAGTTCCTCTTCTGGGCAGATCCAGCAGAAACCACGAGTCAAAGCCATTCTTGGGAATGGGGTGAGAAACCAAGAGAAGCAATAGGGGTGTGAAGTCATGAAAGCTAAGAAACATACTTAAAAAGGAAGTTTGGGTCAGCAGGTCAAAAGCAGCCATATCTTAAAATGCCAAAGTGGAAACTGTCAGAAGCATGGTGCTAGACATCTACTATGCTTGAATAGCCATATTTGGAAGGTTCTGGGCAGTAAGTGTAGGTTGTAAAAGGGCTTAATGTGGGGACTCTGGGAAGAAAAGTTGGGCACAAATCAGAGGGTATTGAAAGCTAGGGGGAGTTTTGATGTTGTACAATAGCCACTGAGGACTTTTGAGTAGGAATTGTTTTATAACTAACACTTTGCTCTTTTTTTGAAGATTAACCTGTTATCCTTGTAAAGGGAGTAGTGTGTTGAAATAGAGAAGCCAGTTAGGGTACTGAAGTAATTATCACACCTGAACCAGTGATGGCCATGGTAATGGATGGACAAATGAGATCTTGTGGAGGTAAAACCAACAGGATTCTGTGTTTACAGGTGGCAAGTAAAGGAGGAAAGAGTCAAAGGTGACAGATTTTTAGTCTTCAGAGATGGTGGTGCCATAACAAACAGTGAAGTCATGAAGAGAAGCAGGTTCTGCAGGGAAATTGATGAATTTGAGAACCAGAGAGCCTTATCATAGAATGGCTTAGGCTGTTTGGTTTTTTTTTTGGTGGCATTAAGACTCAGGGATATGAGATTGAGTGGATAAAGCTCCAGATTAGGAGATAAAAACCTGGGGTTTAGTCCTTGCTTTATCTACAGCGTGGGCAAGTCACTCATTCTCTTTTTGCCTCAGATTATCCCTTGCAAAGTGAGGAAAATATTTCATGCCTCACATCACTGAGGAGAATGGAAACAATTTTGTGAATCGCTTTGAGTTCCTAGGAAGAAGGGTATTTTAGGAACAACATGCTTCCTTGGTGGGGACAGGAAAGGATTATTGGGCCTTGGACTCATCTCTGTGGCCACTAGCTCATCAGCTGCCCAAGTAAGAAACTATAATTTGAGACTAACCACTTTTTGTCATCACATCCAGTCTGTTACCAATTATTGTTGCTTTGTCCTTCACAGCTCCTCCCAAATCTGCCATTTACCTTCCATCCCTATAAGTGCTAGCTTGTCAGGTTCTGGTCATCTCTTATCTGGTTAATTGCCAGATTCATCATCATTTAGCAATGACCTGGTTGTTGACTTAAAAAAAAAAAGAATAAACATTTATTAAACATCTTCAGCATACTTACCCCTGTATTAGCCTTATTCTAGGTGGGGAAAGAGGAGGGGGAAGACATAAAAAAAAAGACATGGTTCTTGTCTTCAGAGCATACTCTAGCTAGGTTGGAAGAGAGGACGTACATGTAAAACTACAGTAGAACAGAACAAGACAGGGTCAGGAAATGAGCTAAAATGGTAAAATTCAGTGTTGGTGGGGCTACAGGTGGTACAGTAGAGTGTCACAAATTTTTTTGGTGATTAGGCTGACAGTATACAGCAGAATTACAACACTGATCATTCACCTTTGAACCAGTGATTCCACTGTTTTAGTTTTATCCTAAATATACATTGAAAAGTCAAAAAAGACCTATTTGTACAAAAATACAGTAGTTTTATTGGTGGTAGTCAAAAAATATATACAATTGGAGAATAGCTGAACATCTACAGTCTACTGTTAATTTTATGGCCAAAGCTGGCTCCCCCTTACTTCCTCACTTTGTCTGACAGACCTTTCTCAAGACCTCATGATAACTGCTCATTGTATCATAGGTCAGGATAATCAGCAGATGGCAGGACTGGAAAGTATTTTAGAAATCAACCTTCTCATTTTACAGAGAAGGGAACTGAAACCCAGTCCCTTAAACATGTGGGAAATGACACTGTGCAGAGTTAAAAGTAGAAATAAATGTTTGTAAGCGGTGAAAAGGACACCAAAAGTATTGATTGTGCCTTGGGAGAAAATTCAGATTGGGAGAGTAGGATGATAATAAATGAAATCATTTCAGGTTTTCCTTTGAGCCTTTTACCGGGTGGCAGGCTATATATACCTTCCCACCCCCACCCCCACCTCGCAACTCTACTCAGATTTGTAATTTGCTACTACCTGAGTACATATCCTGTGCTTAGATTTCCCTTAAACTAAAATTTGTCAGAATTTATTCTTGAAGAATCCATCTTTCATGAACACTTTCCTGATTCTCACCACCTTCCTCAAATTGGCTGTGCTCCCTCATCTGAACCTCTTTATGTCATTTTACTTAAACCTTTCTTATGGTACTTAGCATATTCTGCTTTAAACTATAGTTATTAACATACTTGAGGGCAGAGATTATTTTTAAAAAATTTTATAATAGGAACTCAATCAGCAGCAACTATGAACATCAGTATATAAAATTTTTAAAGAGTATATATTAAATTTAACACTAGGAACAAAATTGCCTTTTTTGTGTCCCTTTCTGAATTTTCTATGTACTTTTTTAAATGTTTTATTGATGCTCTGTTTTTTGGCACGTCATTCACAGCTCACTAACTTAGAGGTTTGGGTTTTGCTTATCTTTTGTATGCCTTGCCCTGCCTCTCGCACAGTAGGTCTTCAGTATTTGATTATTTGAGTTGAATTAATGAAGCTTTTGAAATTCTACCTCTTCAGGAAGCAGTTCTGAGCTCCTCTTCCTCCTCTGCATGTGTAGCTCTCTTGCCACTGTCTTCCTTGTTTAGTACCTGTTTGGTTATCTATGCTCTTGATTGTAAATGCCTAGAGAAAGAGCAAGGGATAGTGTCTGATGTGCCATTCAAATAATAACAACAGACAGTTTTATAAAGAATTTATTTGATGTTCACAACATCCCTATGAAATAGACAGTGGAATTTGAATTCTTATTTTACACATGTGTAGAAAGAGTCCTGGAGAAAGGTTAGGTTACTTGCTCAGGGTTACACAGATAATGGTTGTCAGGGACCAGATTTGAACCCAAATTTCTCCCAACTCCATGTTCATGTTTCTTTCCATTATACTGTTTTACTTTTAATGATGATGATGTGGCCTTTGTTGACAGTATGTGCAAGGGTTTGACTAGGTCTACCTGTCATCAAAGTCTTAAGTGTTCTTCTAAATGCTTGTGGAATGAAATAGAATTCTTTTTGGTTTGGGTTCTAGTCTGATTTTTGTGGATTAACACACCTGGTGAAACTGGACTTGAGTAAAAATCGCCTGCAGCAGCTGCCTGCTGACTTTGGCCGTCTGGTCAACCTACAACACCTGGACCTCCTCAACAATAGGCTTGTCACCCTGCCTGTCAGCTTTGCTCAGCTTAAGGTAACAATTCTCCATAAGGCCAAACACTGGCAAACATGTCTTGCATACTAGTGTGTTATCTCTGAAAAGGTTTATGGTACAGTCTCATCTCCACTGAAGGGGGAATTACTTCACCTGACTGCTTCAGTCAGTTAGAATCTAAATTGTTTTCTACCTCTTTATGTTGATTTACTTTGGATGAACATGTTTGTGAATTTTTGCTTAAACTGTTTGTCTCCTCTTTAGAACCTGAAATGGCTGGATCTGAAGGATAACCCTCTAGATCCTGTCCTGGCCAAAGTAGCTGGTGATTGCTTGGATGAGAAGCAGTGTAAGCAGAGCGCTATCAGAGTAAGGATATGGCCCCTGTGTTTAATCCTTATATGTTCCTTGTTCGTGTACTCCCATGGTATTGATACCTTCTTGTTTTTCTCTTAAAGCTTTTTTGTTGACTAAAGGAATGTGTCAACCATAACATATCTTCGATGAAATTTATATAGCACTTTGTAAGCCTTAAAGCAAAATATCAATGTTAGCTATTATTTTAATTATACTGGGTATATCAGGAGATAACATGTCCTGCCTTTACTAATATGAGAAATTAAAAAAACCACCACCATGACTATCTTCCTGTCAACACTTTCTTTGATCACTAGACAAGGTCATCATCATAGGATCAAGGCACTGTGGGCTTCTCATCTCTAAAACTGTAGTCGCTGTACTAGATTTCTGCTTCACTGGCTGGATAGACTATTGTGGTCCACACCATTTATCCAATTTCTTAATGGTGTAGTAGGGAAATATCTACCAATCAGTGTTAATTGAGCCTACATTTCATAGTGATGGTTTAAGTATTGTCTGTTTTCATTGCATCTGGGGCCATTTCTAGTTGTCCTGATCTATATCTTGCCACTGGACCCTGATGGCTCCAGAGGAGAAAGTGAGACTGGTGACTTTGTACAGCCTTCCCTCACTTAAATCCAATTCACTTGGATGTCATGGCATCCCCTTCCTAATGTCATGGCCCTTTTCCAGAATGAAAGACAAACAACCACAAACAAATTTCATCATTTCTGACCATTATCTTTGTGAATTTCTGTGCTGTGGTCATGGTAGCTGCTAAGTCTTTTAAATAGCTGATATCTTTTAAAATAAGATATTTTTGTTTCTCTTGGTATTAAATATGTAGTTTTGAATAATTAATTCCAGTAAGTGATTGCTATAGTGGACTATAAAAGGGACTTTTCATATCTCCCACTTCCTTCTCTAAATGGTACATATCTTAAGAGTAGGAACTGAGGGGATGGTCATAAGTTTAACACCTAAAGTCTAGAGTCCCATAGAATTTGAACTTGGGCCAACTTCCAGTAATGTGCTTGGCTTTTTTCCAGATCTGCCTGTGAAACAAACACCTGTTGTTTGAATAGCCTGTTCATGCATTGGGCTGTATTTCCCTCCCAAAAGGTTTCAGACGTATTTGAGCATAGTGAGTTTCAGTTCTGTGTCCTTTAGCTTAGTATTCTGAAAACTCTTTGGCCCCTGGAACTTGCAAACTGATTTGAAGGGGTTACTTGACTGTGCCTGACCTTCTCTGCCTGTTTTTACTTGTGTATTGCTAGAGGATGGTGATGTCAGGACCCTGAATTATTAGAAACGCATTTCTGGGTGAGGAGTGAAATGGAGTTGTATTTAAAAGGAACACCTCCTTTGGCCTTGTAGATCTCCTGGCTTTTTTCATACTATTTTAAATAATTAATCAAACATCTTGTCTAGCCCTGTTTGATTAGGATGCAAGACAGGTGTTAAGTTTTCTATACGCTCTCAAATGCCTGAATGGTGTAAAGGAATCCAGAACTTTGAATATGCTACTTGTCCATTCATAGGGCTCAGTTATTTTCAGCTAGTATGTTAGTAGTAAGAATTGGTGTTCTTTTGTGGTAGCAAAAAATTGGAAACAAAAGTGCTTATCATTTGTTGGATAATGGATAAACAGATTGTGGCATGAGAATGTAAGGAAGTATTGTGTGCCATTAGAAATAACAAATATGGGGGCAACTGTGGCACAGTGGATAGAGCACCGACCTTGGACTCAGAAGGACCTGAGTTCATATCCAGCCTCAGACACTTGACATTTACTAGTTGTGTGACCCTGGCAAGTTACTTAACCCTGATTGCCTTGCCAAAAACAAACAGAAATAAATGTATATAAACAAATATGAATTCAGAGAAGTGGGGGGCTTGAAGTAAGAACCAGGAAAACAGTATATACAAGGACTGTATGACAGTGCAAATAGAACAAATGAAACTTGACACTTTGTAATTATAGTGTAATTGTAAAGGCCCAAAGAAAGAGTTGAGAAAATGTACTTCTTACCCTTCATCAAAGGGGTGGGAGACCATACTCTATCTCAGACACGGTGAGTGTGTCGGTTTGGTTTTGCCAAACTGCTTTTTTCACCTGTAAGATGACAGTACTGACTCTTTTTTCGAAGGTACTGCAGCACATGAAAGTTGTTCAGGCTGATCAAGAGCGAGAGAAACAAAGGCGGCTGGAGGTTGAGCGAGGTAAGTACCCATTATTTTTTACTGAAAAAAAATTATTAAATGTTTATTATGTACCAGTCAGTATGCTGAGTGCTAGAGATACTATGTGTATGTATGCATGCCATCATGCTTAGATTTTAATAGGGAAGATAGCAACATATATAGAAAGTAGAGACCAGGGAATGGAGTTTTGTTCTGGGAGAGGTGGGAGGTCAGGGGAGAGGCATCAGGATAGTGGCAGCATGCAGATCATAAGAAGGCCTGGTGGATCGGATGTGAAGCTGAGCATGGTTTGGTACCTTGGACTAGTAACCAAATATAGCTGTGTGGGCAGGTTAACTTCCTGAGATTGGGGGTATGGATTCTAAAAATTACTGATTTTAGGAGTCCTTCCAGACTCATCTTCAAGTCAACTTAGTCAATAAATCACACTATCAAAAAGTGTATTTTCTGACTATCAGAAGCTAGAAACCAGCAGAGTGATAAAAGTGGGTGGGTGATTCCTAATCTCATAGAGAATTTTGACAAATGGTCATGGGCTATACATGTTTTAGCAAATAATTATAGGTGTTCCCTGATACAGGGACTTTCTAACTTAACTATTCCTTATGTACAAAGTGCTGCTGTGATGGGGAAAGGCTCTTCTTTATTGGCAGGACCTTCTATTTCTGGGGTGGCAGAGTTTTGGTAGAGACTGAAGATGAGGAAAGGAAGGCCCCGAGGTTGTGACTTGCTCAATAAGCAAATAAACACTATTGTTCCTGCAGGAAAATGTTCTGTATTTCAGGGAGCCAACTTAAATAAAACTTGAACCATGATTGTTTCATGATTTGAGGCTTGTCTGTTTGAAACATTTTGTGTTGATCTAGAGATGTTAATATAGACTGGAACTGTAGCATAAAAGAAGTTATTTAGGGGCAGCTAAGTGGCGCAGTGGGTAGAGTGCTTGGCCCTGAAGTCAGGAGGGACTGAGTTCACATCCAGCCTCAGACTAAACACTTGACACTTATTAGCTGTGTGACCCTGGGCAAGTCACTTAACCCCAACTGCCCCCCCAAAAAAAAGAAAATAAAAAAGTTATTTACTGTCAAATTTAACTGTTTATTAACTTAGCACATCAGAGAATAAAGGACAACACCCATCCACCCTAAATAGGTACAGTTTATTTTCCTAGTCTCGGCAGACTTCATTGTATACTTCTCATTCATTCATCAACTCTGGAAAACTGGAACTCTCTAGATATTCTCTCTCTTTTCACAGCTCTCTTTTTCTTGCTAGTTTTGAAGGCTGTCTAGTCTTCCAGCTTAGATGTTAATTCATTTTCAGTATCTAGACTTTATTTTGCATATACCCCTTCTATACTTTTGATTTCGTTCCTAGGTCATCTGCTGTTTAGAAGTGCCTTGATGAAAATTTAGCAGTAAAGAATTATAACCTGGGAAAGATGGGTGGCAGTCTTTTTATCTGCCTCATGACACAGAGGGAAAGAATACTGAATTTATCCAGTCTTTGCAGTCAGAAAGTATATGTAAGCCTAAAGAAGAAATCTGCTCCCTCTTGGGAAATGAATTGGGATAGGTTTGTGGGGAAGAACAGTGTTTTGATTATAGATTTAGGAGTGAACAGATCTTGACTCATCTGGTCCAGACATCACAATTTACAGATGAGAAAAGGAAGGCCCCAAGGTTGTGACTTGCTCAACAAGCAAACATGAAAATGGCTGAGCTAGAACTTCAAAACCTGCAGTTTCCATTATGGCAGTATCAGGGAAAGTTAATATTTCTTATGCTCCTAGAAATAGAGAAAAAGCGTGAGGCCAAGCAGCGGGCCAAGGAAGCCCAAGAACGAGAAGTGAGAAAGAAGGAAAAAGCAGAGGAGAAGGAACGTCGGAGAAAAGAATATGATGCTGTCAAAGCAGCTAATAAGAAGGAACAAGAGAAAAAACCCAAGAAGGAGACACATCAGCCTGCAAGTATGTTGTCACAACTTTCCAGTAAAAGCGATGGCTTAGAATTGCCTTGTGTGTTCAGTGTTCAGGAATCACAGAGCCTGAAAACTGTTGAGCTGAACTGAAGTTTAGAAACACCATTAAGGGTCTGTGCTTTAGGAAATAACATTTTCTGTATGGTAATCCAGACCAAGATGTCGAGATTCTGAATCGGTCAGCCTCTGACTTGGCATATTGTTAATAGATCATGAGGAGGAACATTCATCATCAAAATTATGTACCTGTTATAGAAACACTTTAGATTCTTTTCTCTTTAAAAAGCCAAAGGGAGGGGAAAGCTGAGTTTTGATCCTTTTGAATATAGTATTGTTCAAGAAACAATCTTAAGCACTTTTCCCTTTTATAACACTGGGTTAGTTACTCATTAGAAAGTGGTATGAATGGACCAGCAGAATGTGATTTGGTACGTTTCTGAGCAGAGTGGGGAGAATCTGTCCACTAAGGTCTTCTTCTCTTTGTCATGCCTTTGTCATTCCAGAGGCCAAGTCTGGTTCCCGTTCTATGAAGTCTCGCCCTCAAAAGCATTCCTGGTCCTGGGCTTTCTTAAAGCTACTGCTGATGGTGCTCCTCAGTGCCACAGGAGTTTTAGTTGCCTGTCAGGTGACAGATCTACAGTGGCAGCCTTTCTGCATCAATGTGAACACCATCTATGAGAATGTCATCCATGGGCTTCGTAGCCATGAAATCCTGCAGCGAGTCTTACAGCCAAATTCTCAGCAATAAGTGTGTTATCAGCATTGGCTGCCTCATTGTCTGTGGAGCCAGGATTCCTATGGAATTGCGTTCTGCCAGACGCTACCTTTTATAGCATTGGACCTACTTGTCACCACCAAATGGCAATCAGTTGGTATCTGAGACACCTGTTTTTATGTCCTAGGAGATCCAATGTCCTAGGAGATCCATGTTAGAACTTGCCTCTGTTCCTTATGCAAGATTCTGTTCCCTGTAGATAAAGAAAATGGGAAGGGGTGGGGGGTGTGGGGGGAGCAGTAGTCTGCATGCCTAAAGGAATAAGCTAGAGGGGAGGACACGAACATTCCCCTTTTCTAATCCAGGTATCCAAAGCTATGTAAAGGTGAGGCATATTTTTACTAAATGGTCAGCTGTCTCCACATTTATATTTTTGTATGTCACAAATTTATCCACTCAACTTCCTGGGCCAGGATCTCACCGACAACAAAAACAAGATCAGGAGGCAACAAATGCAAAACTCACTGTCCAAGACAAAATACCTATTTTCTTATATATCAAGACACTAAAGCAATTTGGTAACTACAGAAATAATGGATTTTTTTTTAATAGCTGGATTGGACCTTAGCAACCATTTAGTCCAACCCCCTGATTTTGTAGTGACTTTGTTAGTGATAGAGCCTGAATCTAGCTGTCCCAATCCAGTGTTGAAACTTTTCAACATGTCCATACAAACTCAGGAGGCTAGATAGGAATATGGCCTGGCTTAACTAGCACTGAAGAAAGAAATCTTTGACTAATCAGTGGCAACCTAAAACTAGTTTTTCAGCTAGTACAGGCCCTTTGTAGTGTATATAGACTTGCATTCCTGCCATTTTTCTAAGATCACCCTGAAAGTTCTAAGTACAGGCAAGGCATCCCCACGTCAGAAAAGGAAACCCTTTTGTGCTGTAGTATGATTGAGGGCTGTTACCCCATTCTTAGCTGGAGTAGATATTATTTTACTGGGACTAAGATTTATAAACAAACTCAATTTCTGTTCTTTGCCTCTTACTAACACAAGGTTTGAGAGGCATCGGCAGTTATTGTGCGAAATTAAAATGTTGCCTATTAACAAAGCCAGACAGCCAGCTTAAGCTATGTTAAACACCGGGAGGTGGGGGTGTGTTTAATTTTGCTTTAGGTCCTTTTTCCTCAGGGAGAAAGGGATAATTATTGCTCCTTGATGATGCTTATTCACTGGAAAAATTCTGATTTAAAAAAAACTCCTAGGAAAGCAAGGGGAAGACATCACCAACTCTAGGGACAAATAGTTTAGCACAGTGATATGGAACTGCCTACCTGTGAGGTTTCTCCTAGCATTAAGAAATTTTTCTTTTGTTCCTATTTTCACTATTTCCATTTGGAACACATATCATGAGTGGTAACAGAAATGACTACGTACTCTTTTACTTTTCCCTTCAGGCACTGGGACCATTTTTATAATTATTGTATAAGCACATAACAATTCTAAGCAAGTACACAGAGCTATAAAGTGACCCACCCCCACCCAAATGATAAGGATTACCATTCCACGTTGTGATTTATAAGAGGTGAGGGGATTGATTATAGGGAACAAGCCGACAGACAAACCCACCAAGAGCTTTAACTCTCCATTTCAATCATAATTGTTAGAATTTCCTAAACTTTATAATGGACTGTTTTTAGGTTTTTATAATTGTTATTAAATAAGTGTCTTGTGGGATGTCTTTGATCCATTTGCATGTAGATTTAACTTTTTGCCTAATTTGTTGGGTAGGGAAGAATTCCATAAGTTGACAATGAGGGACAAGTTCTCTCTGGGTCACCCTCCTGTATTTAGTCACATTAGCTTCCTTCGGGAAGGGGAATGAAATTGAACTGACAGAATCACTGCTCCCATTTATTCCTGCAAAAAGATATTAGAGTGCTCTTTCAAATATCAGTTGTGGTTAGGAGTGTCATTCTGTGCCATCCAGAGAGAAGTCTGGCTGCAGAGTGGTCATCTGAAAATAGATGCGTCTAGAGAGCTCTGGTCCAACTCGGCGAGAAGTAGTTGTTACTCCCTCCCCTCGGCGCACCTGGATGTCTGCAAGCAGGTTGTGACATTCTTGCTCGGATAAACATTGCTGATATGCCTAAAAAACAATAAATGTCTGAACAACAAATTCACAAATTAGCCCCTACCCCAGTGGCTGAGAGCTGCAGTTTCTTTTTATTTTTGGTGGGACAAGCAGCTCTATTCACAGCAAGCTGGTTTTTGCTGATCTACAAATTTTACAGCCATTACCTTGTTTTACAAATGAGGCTCAGTGACATTAACAAGGTCACATGGATAAAAGTCACCACAATTTAAAATCCTAACTTCTGGTAAACTGAGACATTTCATCCGTGAGGTAGAAGGTAAAGTTGCCAGCAAAGATGATGTCCAACTTAGTGCTACAATACAACTAACTTACCTGTAGCAGAAGCCGAGGTGAAGGATAGGCGCTTACAATTGCACTGGCAATCTCCAAGCTAACTCGATTTAGCTGTTGAATCTGCCTCCTCCAGACCAGTTTAAGTCCCTTGCCAGACCAATCCACCTTTACCCCTCCAGCCCAATCACTCGCCAGACAGAAGGAAAAATTAGTCTGATCCCGAGATCTCCTGTAGGTAATAACCCAAATGAACACAGATAATAGCTCAAAGGAACAGTGTGCTAAAAAGCCACCTTCCCTTACTTAACCCCAAAATGGCAACCCAGTGGAGCTCATCTCCATAAAGCCCTAGCCCCAGGATGTGATATTACTGGGCTTATTTTAGACCTGCTGGCACACTGAATACAGGCAAATCACAGAATATACTCCACGACTGTATCCATTGAGTTACACTTAAATTTTGATGTAATGCTTACTGCTTGATATAAGTGGAACCTGGAAGTCTTGATCTAAAGAGATTTTAATTTTACTGGGGTTTGACTACTGAACCTTTAATTGCCTAAAGGAAAATCTAGTTCAACCTTCCCCCAAACATATCAAAACAATGTATTTGGAACATATGAATGTGTATTACCAGAGACTTGAGATGCTCTCAAAATCCATCAGTAATGTAAGTACTGCTCCCACTACCTCCCACACAAGAGGGAGATTACCATGAATTTTTATTACCAGGCTTACAAGAAAGAACTTGGCAAAGTGTTAGGTCAGTTGGGACAATATCATTTCTTCATCTAAAAGCACTGGAGCCAGGATCATGGAAAAGGGATGTTTTATCTAACCATAAGAATATTTATAATGGATGAGTACCTAGCATGAAGTTTAATATCACTCACTTGAAGGGTGCCTCAGCCACAGCCTTGGTGAACATACAGATGAAGTCAGCCAGCTCCTTCCAGCTCTTCAGGATTCTAATCTGGGCTTCTGTGTGAAGCTGCAACTCCACCAAAGCCTAGAAAGCACAATAGCGATGATGAAACTTGAGGTACAGGAAGAGAAATACAAATCCAGTGTAGTTCAGCCTATTCTCACTGTCATTTAAAAGAGGTCCCCATTACCTAGCCTTCAAAGCTCTATATAGATCCTCAGAACCAAGCACATCTTTCAGTGGCAAAAACTGTTCAAATGTCACATAGCCTACCAGTGAAAATAAACATGCAATTATAGGTGCCCACTTGGTTTGTGGCATTGCTTAGGAAAGAGGTAGTTCTACTTACCATTTCTACTTCTACCCTGGACAGTGTTGGAGTAAATTCCCTGTTCTCCTTTGATCCCTTCTGATTTACCTTCCCCTTGGCTTGATCTCTATTCACTGTGTCTCCCTGTTTTTTCCTCCTCTGGGGTTTTGGAGGGCTAGGAAGAATGAAAAGAAATGAGGATAGCAGCTCTAGGCCTAACTCTGTTTAGTAGGAGTAACTGGGGAAACCTTACTATGCTTGGTAGAGGGACACCATATACCAGAGATGCAACATATATGTTACTGATGGATTTTGGGTGGGGAAAGAATCCCAGCTCCCTGGTCCTTTAAAAGATTACCCCAGAGCAAATCCAAACCTAAAATATTTTTCCTGTTCCACGACTGCCAGTGACAGAGTCTTCCCTAATGTCTTTGTTGTGACCCAAGTCACAAAGCTCTGCAAAGTTTCTTTCCCTTCAGGGCCACCCTATATAAGAGATGGTAATTAATTATTGTAATTCCAGTGATTACTTCAACTGCTCCTATAATTCTGTTGCTCTTCTCAGTCTGCCAACCTGCTTTGAGTTGTAGATCATGGTCATAAACTCCTTTTCCTGCAGCAGGACCAGAACGAAAGGCTCTTCTGTCAAGTTTCCCTCTTCAACCTGTCAAGAGGTAAGAGGTACAGAGTATGGTGTGAATCAGCAGGTGTTGGGGAAGAAGTGGAACGTTTGTGCAAGTTTCTGGGAGAAGCCACCTCACCCACCTGGCAGAAAAGTATCAATCAGAAAAGTGTCATTTATTAAGATTATATATCACATTAATCCAAATATAAACCATACATTTTCCTTAAGTCTGGTTCTACTCTTAAGTGCACAGTGTGCACTGGAGGTACAGCTCTTGTTTGAATGCTCCTGGGAATTGCCTACATTTCTGCCAACTCCTTTAGAGCTCAGATCTCCAGGCAAAGCCTGTTACCTCTCTCTTTCTCTCCTGAATTTCCAAGAGGCCCTCTCAAAGTGTTTATACTCCTATGATAGGGTTTTCAGTCTTTGCAATGGAGTAAGCAGCTTTCCTAGAAGTAGAATGAGAGGAATGATGATGATTCACCTGTATTAGCTACCTTAGCATACTAAAGTTCTAAAATCCTAGTATTTTTGTCTTCAACACAAGGTTGTGATGGGAAGTCACTATTTCTTCCTTTGAAATGAGATTTCTCTGTCTTAGAAACGTGACTGGCTGGGAGATCTGAGAACCAGACTCATAGATATAAGCTGATTTTCAGGGCTACAGGGACTGGAGTCAGATCTGGATCAGACACTGATTCTGGAACCTCTGGACAGACAGCTTCTGGGAGCTCTCTCAGCTGATGAGATTGAGGGAGGACACATTTCCCATTCCCACAGTGCTAAGTATATTTTGCCCCAGTTAATGCCAAGTATCAGATCTATAACTTCTGCCCCTAATTTCACTACCTGGGGAAAGCATGAAGTACTGATTTTTGAATGGCTCTTAACATGCACCTTATTCAACAAATATTTTTTGGTGTCTATATACATACATACATACACACAAACGTGTGTGTGTGTGTGTGTGTGTGTGTGTGTGTGTATACGTATGTCAGCCAGTATATGGAAACAGTGTGGACTCCCTGTGAAATGATTTGAAATACTGAATTGGCAGGACAGAAGAAATTTCCCACACGTGATGGAGTATAGTCACACTGAAAGTCTCACGATCCTATTAATTTTAAACAATATTCCACTTTCTTTCCTCTAGACTGGCTTTTGAATTTGGTAGCAAGTATAAGTAAATTTGCTGAGTCACAAAGTAGTGGGGGAAAGGGTTATTTTGCATAAGCAAAGGATATCTCCTTGGAAGACCCCCATGTTCAGTCACTGGAATAGAGTGCCCCCTAGTGGGCAAATTACAATGTATTTCCCTTCCGGTTAAATGACAGCCTGCTTTCCTAGAGCCTTGTAGAAAGCAGGGGAATGAGCCAGGTATGGATGGGTGTAACTAAAGCAGAACCAGGAAGCCTACACTTAGAACATATATTGCCTGTCACATAAAGAAAGGAATATGGAATAGCAATACTTATACTGTGAAAGCCTCGATGGTGAACATTCTCGCATCTGGTCATACTCTTCACATCCCAGTGACTCTGAACTCCTGTAGATTATCATCCAAACTCCATTCCATACTGCCCTCCCACCTCCTAATTCCTTATTCCCATCCCTCTCAACCCTTCCACTCCAAAGGTGCATTGCAACTTCACCCAGCTCTTACACTGTGTCCTCTGGAATGCCTTTTCCATACGCAACAAACCTCCCATTATCTTGCATCTTTTCCCTTTTCACTCCTTCCATCTACTAGTTTTTACTGAAACTCGGCTCCTCCCAGATGACATAGCCTCCCTGGGCATCCTTCACTCATTCTCCTCAAGCTGGTAAAGGTGGGGGAAGTGGAATATTTACTCTCCATTGCCACTTCCAATTTCTTCCCCTTCCTCCATCACTCAGTAATCTCTTTCTTTGAGGTTCATGCTATTCATATATACTATCCAAACAAAACACTGATAGCTCTTGTCTAGAGACCCTACAGGTCACTCCTCTTCTCTTCTCAATGAGTTTAAAATCTAGCTTACAAATCCTCTCTCCTCCCCAACTCCTGCCCTCATACTAGGGGACTTCAATATACATACTGATTCTCCTTTCAATACCCTAACACTCAGTTCCTCAACCTATTCACCTGAGCTACTCCTCCCAATTTAGTCACACAAAAAGATGGCTATACTCTTCATCTTGCCATCACCCACAAATGTACCACTTCAAACATTCTGAAATCCCCCTATCTGACCAAATCTACTGGCTTTTCACCTCTCCCTCTGTCTTTCCTTACATTACCTTACTATTTACCCACAGTGTGACCCTTAATCCCTTGATTCCTCAGTTCTCTTCCAGGCCATCTCCCTAGCACTAGCCCCTCCCTCCTCTTCTCCCCATCTTCACTCCTTGGTGAACTCATTCAACCCTTCACTGTCCTCTCTTGAATCTCTAGCTTCCCTGTCATATCTCTGATTATGCCCTGCTAAGCTTCTTCCTTGGATAATTTCCACCATTCCTTGCCTTTGCACCTACACACATGCTGCTGAATGAAGGTGAAGAAAATCACACAACTGTTCTGACTAGGTCTACTACAAATTTATGTTACACAGTCTGAACTGGGCCTTCACTGCTGCTAGGTAATCCTTCTACAACTCCCTCACTGACTCTTCTAAACTTTTTCATCCCTCAAACCTCCTATGGCTTTCCTTTCCCCTACTCTCAGCTGAGAACCTTGCCTCATATTTTTACAGAAAAAAGGCCATTAGCTATGAGCTCCCTCTTTTCCCTTCTTCCTCTTCTCCTATCATTCATATGCCTTCTGAGACTCTCTCCTTCTGATTCAATGGTCTTACCCCTTACCAAGGCTAACCCTTCTACTTGTTCAAGCACTCCTATTACATCCTGTCTTCTCCAAAATATATACCAGTCTGTCATCTCCCCTCCTCCCCCTTCCATTTGTTTTCAATCTCTCTCTCTCTCTCTATTGGCTTATTCTCTACTGCCTACAAAATACCCATATCGCTCCCATCCTAAAAAAAATCCCCACTTCATCCTTCCATCCCTGCTATTGTCCTATATCTCTTCTACCCTTTGTAGCTAAATTCTTCAAAAAGGCCATCTACAATAGATGCCCCCCTCCTCCTTTCCTACTGACTTCCTTTAACTCTCCACTAAAATCCCATTTTCTACAGCAAGCCTTCCCTAACCCCTCTTTATTCCAGTGCTTTCCCTTTTCTGATTATTTCCTATTTATCCTGTATATAGCCTGCTTTGTATATATTTGTTTGCATGTTGTCTTCCCCATTAGATTGTAAGCTCCTTGAGGGCAGAGACTGTCTTTTGCCTCTTTTGTATTCCCACTGCTTAATACAGTGCCTGGCACACAGTAGGCACTTAATTAATGTTTACTGAGTCATCTACTGAAGAGGCTAGAACTGTGATTTCATTAGTATAGGCAAATCCAACCAGCAAACAACTTTCACCAAAGTAGACCAGCAATTCATCTTTAAATTACATTCTTAGAAGATTGACAGGGGAACTGAGAAATTAATTAAGAAGTTAAGTGACTTGCCCTAGGTCACCTAGGCAGAGTGTCAGAGGTGAGATCAGGTCTACTTGATGGGCCAACTACCATACCTCTCTGAATGAGCAGAGGAAGGAAAAGAGGGAACAGGAGGCCTGATGGACCCAAAACCAAAGAAATGTGATAGACTAACTTGAGGGACAGAGAATATATCTATGATAAGGGGCTCTGGGAAGAATACAAAAACTATGGAAAGGCCTTTACCTGAGACAGGATGGCTCTCCTCTTCCAAGTGATGCTATATGGAATGGTCTGTGCCTCAATCGCACAGTGACACTCCATAGCTTGCAGAGCACTGAGGACCTGACCACCACCATCAAGCTGTAAGAGAGCTGCAGCAAATTGCAAAGTGCACTGTCAAGGTAGGATCAAGAGAGTAGGCAATTCAGTGTGAAGCTAAGAAAAGGCAAAAGTACCTGGATCTAATACAACTGTGATATGTTTCAGACACTCCTCTGGCTTCTGTGCTTTTAGCATGTTGGCCAGGGCTTTCTTCCTTTCTCTCTCTTGCTGTCTCTGCTCACTTTCCTTCTGTTTTCTTTGGGTCTGGAGGGGACCCTGCCAGCCTTTTCCTTTCTCCTTCTGAGTATACTTAGTTCTCTTTGGGGGAGGAGAGAGCACTGAACTTTTCTCCGTGGCTGACACATTTCTAATCTGGACTGGGAAGACAGATGAGAAGGCTGGAACGTAATTGTGTGGCTCTTCTTCAACATCTCTGTCATTCTTTGAAGCATCTTTAACTGAGGAAGAATTAGAGAGAACAAGGGTCTTTGGAAAGGGCTGTTCTTTCCATTCTTCTGCTGTTCCTTCATTGTGCTGATGGTTCAAAGCACATTTAATTTGGGAGCTTGAGTCCTGATGGCCTGATTCTTGTGCTTTAGAAAAACTGTATGTTGTTCTGCACTGAAGTCTCTGTACCAGCGGAATAAGCTCCTCTTCCTCTTCATTCTCACTACTTAGCACTGTAGCTGGCTCTTCTGGGGAAACAGTTCTGGCTGCCTCTTGGAGAGCTGGCAGCTCTTTTGATCCTGGAGAAGAAGAGGAACACTCAGCATCTGAGCTGTGGACCACAACTTGGCTGTTCTTTGTTAAAGATGGCTTTTGTTTCAGAAATGTAAATGTTGGCAACTCCTCAGAGTCACTCTCACTTGTATCCAGTGGTAGCTTTTTCGGACCCATTATTAAAAGGCTGTCAAGCTATATTCCCTGCAAAGAGACCAGTGTCAGGGAGACACAGAATGTCATGTCCTACTCATTCACCTGTGAGTCAGATCAATAATAGGTCCCACACACAACTTTGTACTTAACATAGCACTTTCCTCACAACCAACCTGTGAAGGCAGGCAATATATCACCCCCATTTAACAGGTAAGGAAACTGAGACTCGGAGGGTTTGAATAACTGCTCTCATTCACATGGGTTGTAAACAGCAGAGTCAGGACTCCAACCCAAGAGTTATGGATATAAACCTCTTTCCACTAAACCAAACGAACCTCTTCTAATCATGGATGTTATTGTAATCTATGATTTAATGAGAAGGAATAAGAAAGACACCTGTCCAATGTAGACTTTTTTCTGTCTTGGGGAACTAGTGGCATCAGGAGGTCACAGTGGAAGCCTTAAAGAATGAATTAACGTAGTATAGCATAAAGAGCACTGAACTTGGAAGTAACCAGACTTGAGTTTGAATTTTGGCTATGTTGCTCTTTCTATCACCTTGGGTAAGACACTTTATCTCTACAGACTTTCTTCCTTTGTAAAACGAGGTTAGTTATAAGGACTCTTATTTTTTAAAGTCTTTTTTAAAAATAATTTTAAATCCCATGATTTTTGGCTTAGTGTTGATCTGTTTTGCTTAAATGTAATTACATTACAAAGTTATTAGGAAGTGACTGATATTTAAAGAGCATTAACATAACTTTTTTAAAAAAATCCCATGACTTTATGCCTGAAGGCATCAGGAGGAACAAGGCAGCAGCAGACATCAAATAGGATAGGTGGGAAGTTAGGTTGGCATTGTGCAAAGACTTGGCTTCAAGTTCCAGTTTGGCTATTTATTCCTAGTACAATCTTGAGCAAGTCACTGACCTTGTTTCCTCATTTGTTCCCCCCCCCCCAATTTGTTAAATGATAGCCTTTGGAGTAGGTGATCTTTACAATCCTTTCCAGTTCTCAGACTATGAGATGCTGGCCATTAAACCAAAACTCTTTCAATTTGCAGAAGAAGAAAAGTGACTGGCTCAGGGTCTCATAGCAACTGTCTGAGAAACGATTTGAATACTCATCATCCCAACTCCAACTAAGTCTAGTACTCTGCCCACTAAGGTCAAGCTGCTTCTTACTTGTTGTCCAGTGCTCTTCTCAGGAAGCAAATCGATTTCCAGTGGAAAGGGAATATTGGATATGGAATTATAAGATATGAGTCCTAGTTACAGCTACACCAAGAACTAGTCCTTCTCTGAAGAACAGACTACTCAGAAAGTGAATCAAGGCGTATAATGATGCACTCCTGTCACCACCCCCTCTCCAGCTCCTAGTGCTTATCTCTCTAAAGCTATCTTCCAATCTTGCTTCCTTCCTACTCTGCCCACATCTATGACAATGCTTGCCATGTTACTCCCTCTCCTTCCAATCTATATTCCAGAAAACTAGCATTGTCTCCATTTCTAACTCACACCATTTTATCTCCTGGATCTGTGCCTTTGCCCTGGCCCTTTCCCTTGTCTGGAATCCCTCTTTACCTCTATCTCAGAGTCATTCCTTTAAAATGTAGTTCAAGCCAAGAGCCAAGATAGTGGAGTAAGAAAGATAGATCCGTGGCTAGACAGCATGAAAAACAAAGTGGCCAGAGAATTTTCCCCCTGCAGCAAGTGAGTGTATTCCCTGAGGAAGAATAGGAATCTCCTTGGAGCAGGAAGGAAGCTGATCTCAAGTTACTGCCAAGCATCAATGGAACAGGCCTGTGAAGATAGCCTAAAATAGCACTGGGAATGGCCCCAGACTACAGGCTGACTATAGATGTAACTAGTCATACCTACTTCTTTTTCCTATGCCATAACCCTGTTGAAGCAGCAAAAGGGATGTGAAAGAAGCCAGCATAACAGCAACAGTCATTATAGCAAGAAGATCCTTCAGACTGGGAAAGCTGCCCCCATCCCTGATGGGCTATGGATTCCAGTCAGCTCTACCACGGCAAGAGGGCTGATGTCATATTGGGGTATTCCTAGACAAATCCACATGTATGCCTGCTTATTATCTCTTTACCTTGTTGGCCTACATTTTCTCACCTAAAATAAGGGCATTTAGAGTAGACAACTTTTGGGGTCCTTCAATTTCTAAATCTATGATTTTTATGCTCATATCTTCAAGGGTTTGACAATAACTAGCAAACTCCCAAGGTTTGGAGTTGATGAACTAGAAATGGTTTGGGATATAATTTACTTCTGAAACTAAGTTCATTTTCCAGTATTCACCATATTATGCTTTTCTTCCTTGAATTTATTCTATAAATTCAGATGAATATTAAAAAAAATGTAGTTCAAGCACCATCTTTTGCAAGGGACTCCTACCCAAAAGCTAGTGCCCTCCCTCCTAAACGACCGGTTACTTATTTTGTATCGCTAATTAAGTCGACCAAATACGTATTTAAGAACTGTATATATTCATGCTGTATGTATCCATAACGTTCTTGCTATCTCCTCCATTCAAATGTAAGCTCTTTCTGAGCAGGGATTGTTTCATTCTTTCTACTTGGGTCCCCGGCGCTGAGGCCGTGCCGGGCACGTAGCAACCGCCTCACAAATGCTTGTTCTGCCGGTCTCTAATGCCCCTCTAGCTTCCTTCCCCCGAGGCACGGACCCCGGTGCCGGTGCCACTCACTCCAGCCACCCAGAGTGCAGCTGGGAGCCTGCGGGTAGCGGGGATTCGGGGTGCGGGGACGGCATAAATACACCACCCTCGTCACTCACCTGCAGCGTCTTCGCCGAATCCGTGCGCGCGCCGCCGCTTCAAACATTCCGAAATACCGCGAGACCCGGAAACACCGCTACCGGAAGCGGAAGCTTTTTGGGGCCTGCGGCGAACCGAGGGTAGCCATGGCAGCGGTGGGGCTGCTATCGTTGCTGGCGCAGAAAACGGGCCCCGTCATGGCGCGGGGAGCGGGTAACGGGCTTTGGCTCTTCCTCTTGGGAAGGGGAGAACGGGGTAATTTGGAGGTGATGTCCCGTGAAGGCCATGGCTCGGGTAGAGGAAGCTGGGATCGGTGTAGGCCACATCACGCTTCTCACCTCGGGAAGGGCATGTTCATAGGCCACGTGACTAACTGGGGTGGGGACTGCTGCCTACGTGACCCTCCGTTCCCACCTTCTTTCTGATGGTGGGGGCGGGGCTTGCGCTGCCAGAGGGTTTGGGGGATGCTTTCCTGATTCCCCCCACGGGGTGAGCTCTTGAGTACTGCTGTGTTGTGCAGTTTGGGGGCACGTGTGTGTTTTGTGCAGTTCCACATTTAGGAAGAACACTGAGAGTGCAGTATGTCCGCAGGGAGGGTGAGAATAGTGGAGATAATGCCATACCAGGATCAGCTGAAAGAACTGATGGTATCTGGTCGAAGAGAAGACTAAGGGAGGGAAGAATCACAAACTTTTATTAAGCACGTACTGTGTGCAGAGTACTGTGCTGGCCAGAACATCGGCTTTCTTCTTTATTTTTGTATCCCCAGAGCGGAGCACAGTGCTTTGCACATAATAAGATAAATGCTGGGTAAGATACAAAGTTTGGATAAAGCACAGATAATTATGTCTCAATACTTAATGGTTCTCTAATTACCAAAGGAAATGCAAATAGGACTAGGTAATAAATTCAGAGTGCAATCCAGGTGGGATTCACTGAGAGAAATAAGAGGAGATATTTTTTGATTTAGGCTTCAAAAGATAGATTTTGTAGGTTTGGAATGTTTTTTTAAAAATGGAACCTCCATATAGGGAGTTCTCAGTAAGGGTCTTCCTATATATACCAGGACCCATGAGAAACCCAAGTTGAGTAAATTTAGAGAATCCACACCAAATGTTCACATGGAGTATTTGGGCCTGTGGTAGAGCATTCTGAGCTCCTATTGGTTTGATTAGCCAAAGTCAGATGCGTTGTAATGTCACCTGACGTTAGCACAGTGATGTCATTTTGGTTTTCTTCTAGAATGAAGGACAACAGTCAACCATACCAATGCATATTGGCATCTCCTCTGCAATTTATAACACCTACAGGTTACGTGACTTGCCCAGGGTCATACAGTCAGTATGACTCAGAGGTGGAACTTGAGCCCAGGTCTCTTCCTGATTCCATAGAACAGCTACCCGTTACCTCATTTCCCTAAATTAAGGAACATGATAGGCATAGGGAACAGCTGAAGGAAGGCACGAAGCTGGGGAGGTATGGGGTTTGTATGGGCTGGGGGATGGGGGACACAGAGTAGTGATGTTTTGCTGTATCATAAAGTTTGTGACCCCTAGTATTTATATGATAAAAGATGAAAAGATAGGCTGCTCCCATACTGTAGAGTGTCCTAAATACCAGGCAAAGTAGTTTGTAGTTTTAGAAAGCAGAACAAGGACTAAAGGATAGACCTTATAGGGAGGCAGGTTGAGTTGTCATAATAATTTAACATAAAGAAGAATTTTCTCATAGAACTTCAAAACTGGAACTTTCTTACAAGTGGAGCAGTCAATAACAAACTGTTTTGTGAAGTAAAGAATTCACTGTCCCAAGAAGTATTCAAGCAAAGGCTTAGTGAGATGGGTTTTATAAAAGGTATTACGACAGAAGGGTAGAAGTTTAAATTAGACCAAGGTCCTTTCTGGCTCCTAAGTTTCCACAGTCCTGCCTAGGATTCTCTCTTGATGCCTCACTGTGGCATCTCTTCCTTTCACCCTTCCCTGGTAAATAGCTTGTTTATCCCTGTGGCCTTATGGGTCCTGGTTACATAACTGTATACCTCTGCCTTTGAAAACAGCACTGAAATTAGAAACAGAACCCTGGGTTTAAATCTTGGCTTAGCCACCTGGATGACCTTGGGTATATTACTTAAGTTCTCTAGGTGTTTTCTTCCACTGTAGAATCAAGAGGTTGTTTTAGATAACCTCTAAGGCAGGAGTTCACAATTAGAGGTCCAAAAAATATTTTGATGACTCTTTTCAATAGAATTGGTTTCTTTTGTAATAATGTATTTTTATCTGTTTAAAAACATTCTTCAAAGGGATCTGCAGACTGCCAAAGGAGTCCTTGATAGCAACAAGGTTAAGAACGTCTGTTCTAGAAACATTCATAGGAGCATAGATCTAGAAAAGAGCCTTAGGGCTATGTTCTACTCAAGATGAGGCAAGGGTTTTCTGTCTATAACACTCATAGGCTTTATACCAAAACATAGTTTGTCTGGGAGAGCTTGGGGTTGGACCAGCCTGATGGCTGCAAACTGGACTAGGTGCCCTCTTCTAATTTTTTTCTGTCATAGACAACCTGATGTTATTTGAGATCCTGGACAGAGGTCCCTACAAAAGACTTGGGCACCCGAAGGGTTCCTGATCTTCTATCTGCAGTTTCTAAATGGCCCTTGAAGACTACATATGTTTTGGCTAATATAGAAATAGGTTTTACATCACTGTACATGTATAATCTATAGCGAATTGCTTTCCTTCTCAAAGAGGAAAGAAGGGAGGGAATTTGGAAATCAGATTTTAAAAAATGAAAGTTAAAAGTTGTTTTTACATGTAATTGAGAAAAAAAAAAAGACTACATGTTTCTAATTAGTAACTGTGTCTAGGATACCTGAGGTAATGATTACCAGCCTTGAGTTTGTGACACTCAAGGGTCTTCAGCCAGGGTGTTGCAAAATTTTGTAAAACAAATTACTTTCAGTTGGCTTTATTTATTTTTTGGTGAGGCAGTTGGGGTTAAGTGACTTGCCCAGAGTCACACAGCTAGTAAGTGTTATGTGTCTGAGGTTGGATTTGAACTCAGGTCCTCCTGACTCCAGGGCTGGTACTCTATCCACTGCGCCACCTAGCTGCCCCCTCACTTTTATTTTAAAAATAAATAACAGCATTTGGGATGGGAGGAGGGAGAGTCACAAAGTCAAGCTAATAAGTAGAATGTTATTATTCCAAAAAAGATTAGGAATTCCTGTATTAGGTATTGGGAGAAGAAAGGGCCCAAGGACCTAGCAGTCTGAAATAGCCGGGAGCTAGAGATGATGGCTCTTTAGAGCCATACTATTTAGCTTCAAAGCAGTTGATTTGTTTTTGTGTGTGTGTTGTAGGGTTTTCTAGATGGATGGTGCAGTAGAGCCAGAGTGGGAAGCTCTGCGGGTGTCCTGTTGGCACTGTTGCCTCTCTTCCCTCATTCTCAAATAGTCTGTGTCCTCCCTTGACAGGGCTGGATATACCCGGGGCACAGGGTGTTTATTTTCTTTTTCCTTCTGTTTATAGACTCCCTCCAGTGTTTATGCCCCAGACAATACAAGGAATGGGTTGTCTACTGTTCAGGAACAGGCCAAGGGCCACACGACACTCCCTGAAAACTAACACGTTTGGTGCCATTTGTGAGCCTCCTAACAGACCTCCTCTCCACCTACTGCTTCTTCTCAGCACTGTAAATGCCTTCTTTGAGACATGGTTTCTCAAGAGACAGCTGCTCTGTCTGAGTTTCTCGCCCCCTGAATAACATTTCTTGTCATCTCTCTACAGTTAGTGCAGGGCTGTCTGCCCCTCAGGTCATGGCTGCCACTGTTAGATACGCATCCAAGAAGACTGGAGGTAGCTCAAAAAACCTTGGCGGGAAGTCGCCAGGCAAACACTATGGCATCAAGAAATTGGAGGGTAAGTGTGCATGTCAGGGTTGTCCCCGCTCTACCCAGCCTTCTGCTTTTCTGAAGGAGTGGTGGAGGCCTCATGCTCAGGAGGGTCCTCTTTGGAGCCTGCCTCTGAGCTAAGGAGCCAAGAAAATTTGGGCAAGGCGTGGAAGTCAGTGTCAGCTGACTGGAGAAGGGGATTCCCCATGGAGCGATCTCAAGGCACTTCACTTTCTTTCCATTCTACATGAATATCACGGTGTGGCAAGAATCTTCAGTGGCAGGTTCAGAAGCTAGTTTAAAGCATTTGGGCCATGATATAAGGATTCATCATTGTTTCTTAGAAGTTTGAATTGATGCCCCTTGTAACCATTCCTCCTGGCTGGCTCAGTGTTTCAGAGGCCCCTACTGAAATCTCTCTCTGTTTTAGGTCAATATGTTCATGCTGGCAACATCATTGGGACTCAGCGCCAATTCCGCTGGCATCCAGGAGCTCATGTGAGTTGCCCTTTGGCCCTCTCCTTTTGTTCATTGGATCAGCTTTCCCTACTTGAGTTCAGAGTTTACCCTTCAGTAATTAGTTTTCCTGTCCATCCCAAAGTATGAGCTAGACTGTCCTGGGCTCAGGCAGAGATATTGTTGGAGGAGAAACTGGAAGTCTTTTGAGAGTTAGCAGCTTTTATTTTTATTTCCTGTGGGAATTGAACACACTTTACAAACCCAGCTCTTTGTGGTGCCCACTTTGTGCATCTGTCACACTGTTGGAGTCATCCTTGCCCTTTCCCTCACAGAATCAATGGCAAGGCCGTAGAAAGCAAAGAAGTTTAGGCAATAGAAAAAAGAACCCAAGATTGAACTACCTCTTTAGTCTTTCCCTATCCTCATCCTAGAGGCTGCTTCCAGTGAATAGGATCATTATGGAAGGCGTTCCTGAAGCCCCAGGACTTTTCCTTTTGTTCAGGGACATCCTCGCTAATCAACTGATAAGGTTTTTGTGTGTTCCAGGTAGGACTGGGTAAGAACAAATGTCTATATGCCCTGGAAGAGGGCATTGTCCGCTACACAAAGGAGGCATATGTGCCCAATCCCAGCAGTCCTGAAGGTGTAGACTTGGTCACCCAGCTTCCCAAGGGTGCTGTGCTCTACAAGACTTTTGTCCATGTTGTCCCTGCCAAGCCTGTGGGCACCTTCAAATTGGTGGCTATGTTCTGATCCTTCTGGCCATGTCATTGGTTGAAAACTAGAGCTGGAATGCCAGAAGATTGAGCCAGATGCCAAGGAATCAGGGTGGGAGCAAGTCTCCCTGAGAGAGTGGGTTTGGTTGACTGTGAACACAGAAGAGACTATGTGAAGCAACCACCCAAGGAGTAATGAGGTGGACAAACCTGAGGTCCAAAATAAAATTAGCTCAAACCGTGAGTTCATGTCATTTGGAAAATAAATCTGGGCAGGGCTGGATGGACAGAGGCCTTTAATTCTTAGATGGTGAGTGATGACATTTGTTGAGTTCCTTAATGTACTCCAACTTCACACAGTGGAACCCTAGAGATGCCCTCTTTTCTCTTCATTTATTTCTTCTGTTATTACCTGGAGGAGTTTATGGTAGAAGAAGCATGGAAAAGTCCCAGTGTAAATCAGCAAGTACTGAGCTTTTGGCTTCCTAGGGAATGCTAGACCTTTGGGTTGATTTTGGTGAGCTAGATAACACCCAAAGCTGTCACACTGAGTGTTGCAGACACATTGCTTTCACGCCTTTGTCTCTAATACTGTAAACGACAGTAAGGAAACTTGGCTTTGAGAATATATTGTATGGAAGAGGAATTCAGACAGGGTTAAAAGCTGATTGGTAGCTTAGGCCCAGGTTCTTTAAAATTGAGGGTCAGGATAGAAAGCGTGTTTACCCCTTCCAGTCATCTGTAGCATTTACTCTACTCTGTGTGGGAGAAGAGAGGTCCACCTGCCAGCCTCTATCTGGTGTGGCATGGGCAGTGATTGACCTGGTGCCTGTGGTCCCTCTCTGATTGGCCGTTTCTGAGCAGAGTGGCCTGAAGAGACCCAAGAGTTTGGTTTTTTTTTTTTTTGGTGAGGCAGTTGGGGTTAAGTGACCTGCCCAGGGTCACACAGCTAGTAAGTGTCAAGTGTCTGAGGCCGGATTTGAACTCAGGTCCTCCTGACTCCAAGGCCGGAGACAAGAATTCTTTCTAAGACCAGAATAAAGACTTCATTTCTGTTCATTCCAGAAGCCCCAGGAAGCTGGAACAGGAAAGGTAAGACTCCGAAGATCCACTTACAGATCTTTTCGTTATTTTTTCTGTGGCCTTGAATAAGACTCCCCTCTCTGTAATTCACTTTACCCTTTGTGCTTATGGGCAGTAATGTAGGCCCATCACTTCCTTGCAGACAGTGGAGGGAGCTTTCTAGGATAGAGGACCAGAAATTTCAGGGAGGGTGGGATGGCCACAGGGGGCAGTCCCCAAAGATGTGGCATCAGTAAGATCCTCCTGTTGCACTGTCTTGAAGGCACCAAAGGGCATCTAGCACAATTGGAGTTTGGCAGAGGCCCCCCTCTGGTGGCAGCTTGGCACCATCTTTGCTGCCTGGGTTGGGCTGGGATAAGGAGGTGGCCAGGAGGAGGCTGCTTGCTTGCTGCTACACTGCGGTGTTCCTCTGAGTAGGGAAGGCAGTTGTTCTCTGGAATGGGTGGGCAGAGCCAGAACTGGGGGGCACCTCAGGGAGCGGTCCCAGGGATTCCTCATAGGTTGGTGGAAGCTGGTGAAAGAAGAGACATGTCAGCTCTGTTAAAAAATAGGGGAAAGCTTTCTCAAACTCTGGTTTCTGTACTTCCCCCACCCCCTGGCTTCTCCATTCAGCTTCCTTTTCCCCTTGGAAAAGGTTCTGGCCCTTTGTAGAAGCAAGCTGGGTTTGAGCCACTGTCTCCCAAAGCAACCCCTCTCTGCAGAGGGGTTGTCCTTCCCTCAGTGGAAGAAAACCCATCCTCCTCTACTGCAGTGATATAGTTGCTTTTTAATTTCTTTTTTTTTTAAGCTAGGCAGTGGGGTTAAGTGACTTGTCCAGGGTCATACAGCTAGTGAGTGTTATGTGTCTGAGTCCAGATTTGAACTCGGGTCCTCCTGACTCCAGGGCCGGTGCTCTATCCACTGTGCCTATACTGCCGTGATATAGTTGAATTGTGGGTGTTCACCATCAGTGACTCAAATGAGGGAGTTTTGTAAGCTGAGGGTGGAGAAGGACTGGTTGAGGGTTAGGGATGACTTCTTGGAAACCCTAAAGAGGTGATTATTAAGACAGGACCACCTCTCTGCAGGCCCATAGTCCAAAACGATGTGCAATCAGCCGGTGGATCTGTTGCTGCCGGTCCTTCTTTCGAACACTCTCATAGCTGGGAAGACGTGGGGGGCGCCAGGGGGGTAGCTGGTAGTTGTTGGGCAGTCCCACACAGAATACTTCATCACTCTGGAAATGCCCCTGTAATCAATAATATCTAGTGACCCTCTCTTTCCAGGAAGGGGACAGAGCAAGCATACCCGTTAGCCATTGTGTGGATTCCCTTCCAGAGCACTGTCCTTGGGTTTTGTGTCCCAAGTTCCCATTCCTTTCAGTCTGTCTAAGGATCCTCTTTCCCCCACAGATGTTTCTAGTTTCTCACAGCCCATTCCTTTCTCCCATCCTCCAACTTTGAGTTCTTTGTTCTGCTTTCTCTACACAAAAGTCTCACCTCATCCTTTCATTTGGAACAGAAGCAACTCACCTGCACTCTAGTTCTCATCCTCTCTGATGGCTGGGATCTGGCTGGGGGTCCCACCAAGTCCTGGTTATTGCTAAAGTAGGGAGGGGGACAGTCCTAGGGGAGAAGGACCAAAGGTGAGCCACCTCATCCTCACCTAGCTCTAGGTTCCCCAGGTCAGTGAGCACCTGCCTGACTCCTGGGCAGAGGCCCAGGTCCTTCTTGGGAGCTTCACATTTCTTTCCTCCCCTCACCCCCAACCCATTCTGCTAAGTCAGAGTCTAAACCTCAGATCCTTAGCTTTTCTAAAACCCACTTGGCTGGAGAGAGATTCTATTCCTTCATGCCCTGCTGGCCCTTTAGAGAAATAATCCCCTCTGTCTTGCCAGGTCAGAGTCTGGGGGAAGCTGTGGTACAGAGGTTTGGACAATCTGCTAATGCTTATGATGCCTGTGTCCCTAAGGACTGTCTTCCATTCTGGTTTTCCCCATCCTTTGTCTACTTCTGAAGTAGGAGACCCTGGGTTTTCCCCTCAAAGCTAGAGAAAGTGATAGTGCCCTGTTGCTAAGAAAGTGGGAAAAAGCATTGTCTTCACTGAGAAGGGCTCTTTGGCTTAGCTCTGGACAATGATGGGAGTGGGGGAGGGCTCAGAGGCAGTTAACCCTTCCTCAACCCACTGCTACTGACTTGGGGGCTATGCAGCCCCAGCCTTAGAGAGCCTATGCCAAAAGCCCTGGAAAGAAGGGGTGTTCGTTGGAGGTGGGACTGGAAAATATTCTTTGCTTCTCTGAAAAGAAAGTGCTGGCCCCCAAGAACGTCTACTGTGCACATGCATGGTGCAGGGATGACATGGCAGGGAGGCAGAGGCAGGCCTGGGAGGGGGAGGGGAAATACTCACACACTGGCTAGGACCCTGGAAGAAGCGGCAGGAGCAGAGGAACTGGCAGCACTGGGGGTCCCGCTGGTAGAGCAGCAGCAGCAAGATGGCCAGGACAAACACGAAGGAGGACACTACCCACCACCACACCAAGGCACAGTCAGGGGCCCAGCCTCCTGAACCTTCCCAGCTCTTCCCCCAAGGGCTGTGGGGAGTAGCCAGCATCAGTCAACCTCAGACCCACCCTTCCCTGTCCCTCCTAGGAAGGGAGCCTCCCCCACATGTCTTTGGTGGCATGGCTTGGCTGAGGGAATATCCTGTTTCTACTGTGGAAACTGAGGCAGAGGCAGAAAAGGGACAAGCTCTGGGCTTCCTGTTTCTGATTACATAATTGACCTTAGAAACATGCATCGTGTATGACTTCTTGCTTCTGGAAGAACAGGGAAGTTTGGGATAACTGTGGTCAGGGGGTCCGAGATGATGACATACCCCTTCCCCTGTCAGCCCTGGGAGAGAGGTGTGCATACTGGTGATATCGTTCCACTTTACAAAGAAACTGAAAAAGCTGAGGAGGAACTTGTCCCAGGGCTACCCCAAGGATCAGTGGTAAAGCTGAGAACCTAGGAGTCCTTTCAGGTAAACCCAAAGACCTGATGTAGGTACCCTAGGGGACCCTAATAATAGCTAACATTTAGCACTGTTAAGTTTTGCCAGGCATTTTATACATACAATAACCCTGTGAGGTAGATGCTCTTATCCACATTTTAAACATGAGAAAACTCAGACCTAGCAGTTTAGCAACTTGCCCATGGCACACAGAAAAGAAGTGTCTGAGAAAAGATTCCACCCTGGGACTTCGTGACTCCAAGTGACTTCTAGATTTCATAGTATTCTTCGCACTGAAAAGGGTCATCTACTTCAGCTTTCTAGACAAAGCAAGATCCTGTCTGCAGCATACTCGAGGGGTCGGCATTTGTCCTTGGCTTGAACATTTTCAGGATGGGAAACTAACCACCACTGTGTTGTAGTGAAAACATCACCAGACCTATTGAAAAGACTTGGGTTCAAATTCTGACTATGTGGCTTTGGGCAAGTCACTTAGCTCTTCTAGGACCTGGTTTCTTCACATTTTAAATGAAAGGCTTGGACTAGAACTCTAAGACCCCTTCTAATTTTGAATCCATGATCTAAGGCAGCTGGTTCCATTATCAAACAGCTTTTGTTATGAGAAAGTTTTTGTACGGAGCCAAAATTTGCCTTCAAAGAACCACAGAGTCATCTTAATTCCGATACTGAATGATAGCAATTTGAAGATCCCCATCACATTCTCCCTAAGTTGTCTTCTCCAGGTTAACCATCCTCAGCACCTTCCTCATGGGACATTGTTTCTTTTTCACTCCCCATCTTCTTATGGACACTTTCCAATTTATTGCTATCTGCCCTAAAATGTAATATCTAGCTTTCTGCCCCTTCTATCTTTTCACCCAACCCCAAGGAGAAACGGGTCCCCCTCACCCCCAGCCCACCCCCTGAGTTCTTTGAACAAAAGGTGACTCAGAATAGGAGCCTGTGGCCCAGCTATTGCACACTCTGTCACTTTCAGTGAAGAGGCTGGGTTCACTTCTCAGGACTAGGAGCAAAGGAGTCTGCCTGGGGGGACAGGAGAAACTGCCAGGTGCCTAGTACTCACCTGTGGCAATGGCGATGGCGAGAATGTTGGTGTCCATGGAGATCCTGGGTTGGGGAACTTTTAGGCAGGTCGGTGGGATAGTGGGTGAAGGCACTGACCCCAAGAGCAAACCTGGAGGCAGCCAGCACCATTGCCAGGCTGGGCCAACACAAGCATCAGTCCCAGTGTATCTCTATCAGGGGCTCTCTCGGTTCCCAGCCCCTCCCGCCCTCTGATCTGGTTGAGGAGGCTGTGGAGGAGCCTGGTTACTCTTCGTCCTGGGCAATATCATGCCACAGGCAGTGCTCCCAGGAGCTGCCCAGCCCCTTCAGTGGTGGGCCCTGGACCAGGCTCTGCCAGGTCCATCTATAGCAGCACGTGGCTCCCATGAAAAACCTGCTGGGGTGGCTTAGCCTCCCCTCCCCCTGGCTCAGGCTCAGGCTCCCATCGGCCCCTGGGGAGCTCCAGGCTCTGGCATCATTGGCCCTCTGACTGAGAGTGGATCTTTGCATCTTGGTCCCCTCATCCCAGCCCCCAATCTCCTCCTGCAGTGAGACAAACTCTCCTCCCCGCCCATCTGCACTTCCCATTGGACCAGGAAACCAGACTCCCAGTCCTGACTGGCTGCATCCAGGCCTTGGGGGCTACTCCATGGAGCCTTGTGTCTCCCGTTGCCACAGAGACCAGACACACAGGGCAGAAATACAAAAGCTGCTCTCCTCAGGGCAGCAACCTGGCCTTTTCTTTCTTTCTCCCCACGCTTTTTTTTTTTTTTGGCTCTCCAAAGGAGTTATTGTATAGCCTTCGAAGCCCCAACGTCCACTTGCCCGCCCTCCCTCCAGATCTCAGATCTCAGTCTCTAACTCCAGGGGCCAAGCAAGGGATGATTTCCAAGCTCCTACCACATTAAAAAAATTAAAAAAAAATTTTTTTTCTGCACCAATAAGTACAGATACATTAGCCTGACACGGTTTAGATTTATCAGAGGGCTCCTTCAAGAAAGACTCTCAAGCCTTAATCACTTGCATAGCAGGAGCAAAAGCCTTCTCCAGCCCAAGTTCTATGGTCATTTTGTTTCTGCTACTTTGGTCTTGGAGCCTGCGGAGAAGAATGAGTCTTTAGAAGGCCCCACAGAGCCTCTCCTCTGAACCAGAGGCCTTCCTGGTTGCCCCAAATATCAGCCCCTTCTCTTGCACTTCTGTTTTACTCCTTTTGTCATATATTTGTATTTATTCAATTTATAGTTATGCTGTTTACATTTTATATGTTTGTGTCCCCCAGTAGAACACAGGGTGACTGTAGGAAGGAGATGGGAATAAGCATATTGATGAAGCATCTACTATGTACCAGGGAGGGCATGGAGGTAGTAAAGTATATAGAGTGCTGGGCCTGAAGTTAGGAAGATTCATCTTCCTGGGTTCTGATCTGGCCTCAGGTAATTGTTAACTGTGTTACCCTGGGCAAGTCACTTAACCCTGTTTATGTCAGTTTCCTTATCTCTCAAATGAGCTGGAGAAGGCAATGGCAAACCACTCCAGTATTTCTGCCAAGAAAACCCCAAATGGGGTCATGATGAGTCAGACACAACTGAAAAACATATACCAGGCACTTTAAGTGCTTCACAAATATTTCTTCATTTTATCTGTATAAGTTGGGACTGTTTCATTCTTTGTGCTTGTATTCCGAGCGCTCAGTGTATTGCCTGGCACATGGGCTCATGGAGCTGGCTTCAGAGACCATCCAGTCCAAATCCCTCATTTTATAGATGGGAAAACTGAGGTGAACTGACTTGCCCAGGGTGACAGAGGTATTAACAGAAGAGGGGTCTGAACCCCAGGGTGACAAATGCTTGTCAAGTGAAGTCCCACTTTCTGCAAGAAGCTTTTCCCAGTCTCTTTCAGCTCCTTCCCTCTGAGATGACCTCCAGTTTATCCCATATAAATCATGTTTGTCTTCATCTTCTCTCTCCCACTAGACTGTGAGCTCTTTGAGGGCAGAGGATGAGGTTTTTTGCCTTTGTTTACATCCATAAGTACTTAGCATATATATGTGTGTGTGTGTGTATATATATATATACACACACACACACACACATATATATATATACACACACACATATATATACACATATATATATATATAATATATATATTTACACACACACACATGTGTATGTATATATATTCAGTTGATTCAGTCATGTCCAACTCTTTGTGACCCCATTTGAATTTTTCTTGGCAGAGATACTGGCATGGTTTGCCATTTCCTTCTCTGGTTCCTTTTACAAATGAGAAAACTGAGGCAAACAGGGTAAAGTGACACACCCAGGGTCACAAAGCTAATATCTGAGACCAGATCTGAACTCAGGATGATGAGTCTTCCAGACTCCAGGCCTGATGCTCTGTGCACTGTGATGCCATGTAGCTTCCCTAGAATAGGTACTTAATAAATGCTTATTGACTTGGTTAACCACAAAATGGAACAAAACAGAAACATGCTGAACCCTAAACATATTTATGTATTTTGGAGGAATGGGCAATCAATATGGATGTTTGATTTCAACAGTATATGGAACTCCCATTGTGGGAACTCCCTCCATTGGTACCAATGTGGAGCTCACCTGTTGCTCATTGTATTAGAGATGTTTGCGAGCACTGGAAGGTCTTCCCCCCCCCCCCTTCATAGTACTTTTTCTTGACCTCTCCTTTGTGCTTATCTCTCTTTTGAAGCCTCATTTAGACTTTGAAGCTAGTGCCTTCTCCAACAAATTGACTTGTATTTATTTGTATATATTTTGCATGTTATCTCTCCTCTCCTGTTAGAATGTGACCTCCTTGAGTGAAGCAACAAACATTTATTAAGTGCTTACTGTATGCCAGGCACTGTGCTAAGTAGTACACATACAAAGAAAGGCAAAAATTAAAAAGTTGTAAAATACAGTCTCTTTTCTCCAGGAGCTCACACTATCATGGGGGGGGGGGGAAACAACATGCAAACAGCTATGTATAAACAAGATACATACAGGATAAACTGGGAGTAATCTCAGAGAGAAGGCACTCAAACTAAGGAGAATGGAGAAGGGCTTTTTGCAGAAGGTGGGACCTTAGCTGAGACCTGAAGGAAGCCAGGAGAGAAAGATGAAAGAGAATTCCAGGCATGAGGACAGCCACAGAAAAGGTACAGAGTCCAGTGGATAAGGGTGTCCTGAGAGAGGAAAAACAAGGAAGCTGGATGACAGATTACATGGAAGGGAATAAAGTATAAAGAGACTGGAAAGGCAGGAAGGAGGCAGGTTATGCTGTGCCAGGTTGTCCCATTTTGTCTTTGTATTGCCAGCACCTAGCTTGGAGGTACTAAGAAATCAAGTGACTTGTCCAGGCAGACACAGCCAGTGTGTGTCAGAAATCACACTAGAACCCAGGTCTTAGCTCTCATTGGGACTAACTGAAGTAGCCTAATTGGTCTCCCTGCCTCCATTCTCCCCCATGAATCTAGGCAATGGGGTTAAGTGACTTGCCCAAGGTCACAGAGCTACTAAGTGTCAAGTGTCTGAGGCTGGATTTGAACTCAGGTCCTTCCAACTCTAGGGCCAGTGCTCCATCCACCGTACCACCTAGCTGCCCCAAAAGTGATCTTCCTAAAATACACATCCCTGTTCAGGAAGCTGACAGCTTCCTTCACCCTTGGAATCAAATGTCAAAACCCTCTCTTTTTGGCATAGAAAGACCTTCACCATCTGGCCTTGGCTTTCCAAGCTTATTACACATTCTTCTTCATGTACTCCAAAGTGGCCTTTTTGCTGTATTTCACATATGACATTCCATCTTCCATGTTGGGATCTCCAAATGAGTTTCCGCACCCCCTGGACACACTCCCTTCTCATTTTTGCTTCTTGAAAACCCCCAGCTTTCTTTAGAGCTCAGTCTTTCCACGGGGGCCTCCCTGATCTACTTCCCACAGCCCTTCCCAGTTGCTAATTCTACCCACTACCCAAATTACTCTATTTCTATGTACATTTTCTACGTTGACCTGCTCTTTCTACAGGTAGATTGTAAACTCCCTGAGGGCAGGAACAGGTGTCATTTCTGTCTTCGTATCTCCAGCACCTAACAGTCCTGGCACATAGTGGGCACTTTATAAATGCTAGTTGGTTGCTTCCTCCATCCACAGCTGGCCATCTTCCCACTACATCACTCTGTCTCTTTTTTTTGTGTGGCTTTTTAGTGAGGCAGTTGAGGTTCAGTGACTTGCCCAGGGTCACACAGCTAATAAGTGTCAAGTGTCTGAGGCTGGATTTGAACTCAGGTCCTCCTGACTCCAAGGCCAGAGCTCTATCCACTGCACCACCTAGCTGCCCCTGTCTCTCTCTCTCTCTTCCTCGGTTCACACATATATATTTGCATTGAATTACCTGTGGCCCAGTGGATGGATAGAATGAGGAACTTGGAGCCATACTCAAAAGTATACTGAATGACCCAGAGCAAAGTGCTCTCAGCCTCAGTTTCCCCATTTATTAAATGGGGAGCACCCAACTCCCAGGATTGTTGTAAGGACATAATGCATATAAGCGCTGGTTGCCATTGGATTTGTAAACACACACACACACCACACACAAGCTGTTTCATGGGTTGCCCTGGGCAAAACACTCATTCCAAAGTCATCAGTCTATTAGTGGTGAGCTCTCCACCCCCACCCCCAACCCCCTCAGCTTGGCTGGTCCTTGGAAAATATTTAAGTGAACTGGTAACCAAAGTTTGTTGTTGTTTTGTTTTTAACTAGAATGAAACCATGGCTCTTTTCAAAAACACCATGCTGTCTTTAAAAATCAGACACATAACATCCTGACATCACCAAAGCTACCTCTAGATCCAAAGGCATCTTCACTTGGTCTGAATCCCTGCTTCCACTTTCTGGGTCATCCCCAAAGAGTTGGGGGTTGTGTGGCAAGCTCCTGGTTAGGGGCGCCCTCTCCCGGCCATGCAGGAAAATACTACCTGGAAAGTGGGTCTCTTCACTTAGGCCTGTCGACCTTCCCTCACTGCCCACCTTGTCCAGGTTCAGGCAGAACTGAGGCCTTCCCAAACCCAACTTCATCAGTTTTACCGTAGCCCCACTATCGTCCTGGGACCTGCCCCAGCCTGCTGGTTTCTAGGGAGAGGATGTGACGACCCCATTATTTCTTCTCCCTCCCCTTCTCTCCCACTCACCCACGAACCCTTGTTTTCTGAGGCACTTACCTATGTGGCTTGGGCAAGTCACTTAACTTTCTTGGACCTCAGTTTCCACACCTGTAAAATACAGTCTGACTAGATGGCCCTTCGAGGTCTCTTCTAGCTCTGTATACCTAAGTACTCTTCTCTAGCCCTTTCCCACCCCTCCAAATCCAGCTGCCAGGTCAGCGGCTGCTATGTTTGTTTCACATTCTATCCTACACTAAATGGACTGCTGGAGTGTGGCTGACAAGCTACCCCCACTCTCCAACTCCCCCTCGCCCCCAAACCAAACCAAACCAAACCTGTTCATTTAAAATTCTTTTGCCTTCTTTCCCACCTTAGTGCAGTAAAAAGAAGAGTTATTTGGGATCTGTGGATCCCAGTTCCAATCCCTAGCCAAACACTAGGTGTTTGATGATATAGGAAGCACTGGATAAGAGCATTCAGTGGTCATGATGATGGGAGTTTGAATTCTGCCACTTTTACTGTGTGACCCTGGGGCAAGTCACTTAACCTCTTCTCAGCCT